TCTTTCTAGTAATTATTTCCCGTGAATCAGAAAACTGTGGAAATGTAGTTAAACTTTGCATTTTTGCGATTACCGACTGTACAAGTTTTTCTTGAATTAATAATTGAAGCGTCACAATTTTTTGGAGAAAAAATGAAATTGAATGAAATCCATGAACGGAGCATCTTGCTTCAAGTCTCACCGATAATGCCGGATTTTTGTATCTAAATGAGGCTGATATATGAACTTATTGGATGCCCAAAGACCTCATCTGTAAGTATAATTACTGGCGAAACTTTGACATTCCCCGTGTATGGATTTTAAATTACAATAAATCAAAGGTCGAGTTGATAGAATTAAAAATTAGCACTAATGACTTGCAGAGGGTATATTATATTAGTGTCGGATCTATATATATAGTCTTCAGATTGCATATCATTGTGATGATTGAGTTTATTCTTGTGTTATTTGAAGGCCCTTGTACAGCACGGCAATGCCTTTGTCGAGCACGGCGCCAACATTGGACTCGGTGAATGCCGGCCGTTTCTTGCAATCCAACACGGGACTCGTCTTCTCCACCATGGTCTGGTTCACGTTCCTTTCGCACCTGTACCACACCACGGACGGGAGCAAGTGGTACTACAGTGTTCTCCACGCACTGGACGGGATTGATCAGTTGTCAACCCCGGCTTACTACCTGCTCACTCTGTCCCTCATAATGGCCCACAGCTACGCCACGTCCTACGTGTTGGACAGGGTGGGATTTGCCGTGGCGGACAAGATTGATGTGGCTGCGCAGCGTCTTCAGGAGTTGTACGAGGGGATCAGGGGACCCAGGATTCCCAAGAATGTGGAAATGCCGAGTTTTGAGGACTCTGTGAGGCAACACGCGCATTCAGCTGCTTCTGCTTCGAGGGCCTATCATCAGCTGCAGGAGCGCAATTTCGGCTTCAAAGGGAATTAGTGCTGCTGATGCCGCGGATGAATGGCACTTCGGGGATTCGCGAGATTAATCGTTCGATCAACTCTTGAACGTGTTTTGTGATGCTGGGGGGAGGACACGCGATAAAATGTATTGGTTTTTGTTTCGCCCTTTCTAAGTTTGTGAGAGGGAATTTGGGATCTATATCTTCCTCACGCGTCAAGGACCGGAAATACGGTTCAGCGTTGCATCCTATGGGGGTAAGCATTTTTATACTCCCCAGCAGGAGCTTCGCTGAACCGAGTTGGTGCGAAGGTCACGAAGGCCATCCACCCAGATAACATGCCTTAAATGTAGCTAGCTCACAATACAAATGCAGGTTATTTAATATTATCATAGTGGTGTGGACAATTACACTTTCCTGGACCAGAAAATCCATCTCCTCCTTCAACGATGAGAAATGTTCCAGGAAGTAGGTGTGAGTGTACCAGGATGGAATTGCTATGGGTATAGCAGCTGTGTGAGTGGGCCTTGGCTCACGGCATGATTTCAGGCTCTGATATGTGCAACTTTTGGTAGTTTGTATGGTGAAAGAGTTGTGGAAGCAGCAGGGTTCTAAAAACTAAAAATAGCCACAGGCAAGTTTACAACTGATGGAGCCTATACTGGCGGGGCCAATTCAATTTTTTACATATACAATCAAATTTGTTCCTACTGAAGTATGAGAATATGTGATCCATCACAAAGAGGCATTCCAACATTAGGACTGTCTTCAAGCACCAATTAAGCTGACATCTTATTGAGGCCCAAATGTAATACAGGAGGTGCCCTGCAATTTTACCCTAATCCATTGCTTGACTTGGGTCTAATTGTGAAGCAACATCAAAGGTAATATTTTCCACATCACATTTTTGTGCCTCTCTAAGGGTCAAATTGCAAGTTCACCTACCTGCAAATCTGACTGTCAAATTGCAGTATATAGACAAATTGCAGGTTGGTTGAATTGCAAGGTACCAGCACATGTATCCGACTATAAAATTAAGGATTAACTTGGTTTGCTGTGTAACTGAGTCTCAGAATATTAGATGAACATTATTTACAATAATCATGAACAATAAGCCTGATCCTGAATTTCAAAGATTCCAACACTGAAAGAAGGGGTTTTATTTTTTAGCATGCTGTATATACTGTAGATGATTTTAAGTTTCTTCTGTTATTTCCGCAGTATTAACCTACAGGAAGGATGAAATTGTTCTCCTGAATAAATTACTGGAAATTTATATAATCATTGACCCAAATTTTATGAAAAATTTGCATCCAGCATGGAATTCCGAGAGCATGTAGAAACTTTTGATCCAGTTTTTATTCATTCCAGAATTCCTGACACCACACGTGGCCACATCAAAGAGCCCGGCCCCAAATGAAGCCTTTTTGTCGCAACGCAAGATGATGCAGCAGGTTTTGCCTTTTGGATTGCAAAATAATTCCGAATAGAGAAATGCACCTAGGAACTGAGTTTTTCCATTGCGTGCTGATGGATTCCCCCTTTGTACGTGAAAAATTAGTGACACATTTGGTTGCGTCTCAGCGATCAGCACTGCTGAAACAAGTGACATTTTATGCAACAAGACTTGGGCTTTTGGCTGCTTCAGAAGTATGATGGTTTGTGGGTAAGACTTTGAGGAACCCCTTTTAAAGATACAAGCATCGTTAACGGATCGAAGTTCGGCTTTAGAACGTTACCTTGAATCCTCTTGGTGAGATCCGGGGTGAGACGACCCTCCTTCTCTTCTGACGCGAGATATGCGTTCAATTTCGAAAGGATTGAATGCGGTGTTCCGACATCTGCTGGCGATAAAAATGAGAATCTGATGCAATCCCTTATTCAAAGTATCTTTTATTTCCGCGCTTGCAAGAACAAAAATGCGATGCAACACTTGGAACATCATGGGCGTCTTTTTTTAGTTAGTCCCCGAAACGCGGACACCCCAACATACGGACGATTCGACTTGGGAATACTTGAAAATTCAAAAAATTGGGCTTGATACTGTATCTGGACAACATCTATGGACATTATGGACACTTTTTCAGCGCTTCTAGAAAATTGCAAAATTTTAATGCTTGAAAATTTGAATGTCTCTCGAAAAAATTGTGCTATTTATATTCACAGAAGTTAGACATGAATATGAACCATGAAGCCTGCAGGTTTTTTTTTTCACGATGACCAGAAATAAGTTCGGATATTCTACGATGAATATATGCGCGCAGAAACCGCCTCAATTATCGGCCGAGAAATTTCCGGTCCACCTATTGCAATAGTTGCTAATGGCGCACTTTATATAGAATATTGGCGTCAGTGTGTCGATCGGGAAACCAGCAATATAACAGCAGGTGGAAGGAAAATTGCACAGAAAAAAACTCACCATGTGCCAAGCTGTCGTCGAACATGAGTTTTGCGAGCTTGTAGAGCACGTCCTCGAGCCCGTATTCAGTGTAGATGAGGTCGACGAACTTGAGTCGTTCTACAAGTTCGGAAAATTCAACCTCGGACAAGTCGTCCTCCAGGGACGAGTGTCGTTGTGGAACTGCAGCTGCTGGAGCTGATTTCATCGGATTTCCTTTTCATTGGAAAAATAAATAAAAGTATATTTTATTCTATTCCTCATAATAATTTATCGCTACTTATAGATGACTATAAGCAGTCGAAACTCTGTACGATGGAAGTCGAGTTTCATAAGGGACCCCAGCGAAAGGAAGAGGTTTTTATTTTTCAGGGATTTTATTTGATTTCTTGGAATAATTTATTGCTATGAAAAACTATATACTGTACAGTCAAGAAAAGCATAGGCGAAAAGCCTCAGAAAATTCAATTTATGGAGGTTTGAGAGAAAAGGCCTTTGAGTCAGAGAGGTTTTTAAATCATGTATCGGTTCTCATTGAATTTGAAAAAATAATCGAATTAGGAAAGATTTGGGATATTGAATTTCAACTTGTTTTTAAGAAACGAAAAAGTGAAAAAGATTTTCAGTGCCCTTTTTTGCCCATTCACGCGAACAAGGGCTTTAAAAAAAAATCAATTACAGAATTCTTCTGAGGAAACTTCATGTCAAAGTAAATCTAATGGAATTTTTCCTTTGGTGTCTGTGAACCATGATATGCAGTTTTTGCACTTCATGCAAGAAAAAAATGTCTGCCAATACGCAGCACATTTTTCAAAAAACAAGGTGGGCGTGAGTGGAGAATTCAAAAAAATCACTCAGTGCTGCAGAGTTTTTATTTTTGCATTTGAGTGAATGTCATCAGGCATTCCTTTTTTGATACTGTTCATGCACTTTTGAATACAACATATCATTTTCACGCAAGAATATAAACATAATCTATAATTATCAGATGTTGGACTTTCTTTATTCTACTGAGCGGATTCAGTTTAATGATACGAATTTGTACTGGAAATTGGGTCGTGTCTGCCTCAAAATAGAAACACATTCATCCAGGATGACACAATCGGCAAAAAAGTCAACTGAGAAGCTTTTGTCATTATTTGCGACTGCTATAGAGAGAAAAAATGAATAAGGAAGGGATAAAATTGAGGACAAGCATCACACATGTTGCCCAGAAAACATATCAGCTGATAATGCGAAGCATCATCTATACTTCTATAGGTTAAAAATTAATTTTATCAGCCCAGTTTTTCAAAAACGCCAGCCTGAATATCAAATAAAAATGCGGGGAACTTTTTTCATCATGCTTCAATAAGGAAATCAGAAAATTACTAAACCTGATAAATAACTGAAACCTCCTATCAAAAGAAACACGACTTCGTAATTTTTGTAAATTATCCGCTCACCCGAAAACATTATCGTCGTTTGACACATGGTTCATGTTTGTTCAAGTTAGAAATTTATGCAAAAAAACTGCACCACGTTCGTCGAAAATCAAAGAAGAAAGATATTTCCCAATTTATTTTGGGATGAAGTTAACTCACACGAATCTTTCAAATTCATTCAAAATGCTGCTCTCGTGCGTGGGCGGAAAATGCGTACAGGAAACTTTGAGGCACTGTCATATGTATAATGTACACACTGCAGTACGACAGTTTCTCAAATGCGAGTCGCAACATAATGAAATAATGAATGAGAGTCGGTGGAATTGAATACACGCAGTTAGTCAAACACGGTGTCGCATTAATCAAGTCTGGGATGCCGAAGAGGGAATTCTTGTGTCTGCTGCTGGTTATGCAGTAAATATTATATTAATTCCAAGGGTTGCCTTCAGGTCTTCCAAGGTAATTTTGGAAGACCTGGACGAGGCAACCCTCGGAAATTATGCCACGTTGATTTCAAAAATTCTGAGAGGAAAGCTGGACTAAAAAAAAACTGCAGGCGGACCATCTGTTGAGCGGAGAGCAAAACTCTGCGAGGTGAATTTTGCAAAAAAATGTAAAAAATGGTTAAACAGGGCTGATTTTTTTTCTTGTGCCAAAGAATATGTTTTCCCTTGAGAATATTTTTTTTAGCTCAATTGTGCGCCATTCTAATTCCTATTCCGAGAACTTTTGTTAGAACCCTTGTATAACATCCGTGTCTTCTGCATATGCGTCACTGAATGCTGGGGAATGAATCCCGCACCTCTGTTGCTGACGTCCATCAGGGAATTTGATTCATTGAATAAATATATACACTGAAACATGTTTATATATAGAATCAAAGGAAGAAAAAAGTGCGAGTCAGATGCATGTATGATGGAATTGATCTTTGCGGAAACGTAACGAATAAAAAATGTTAATGGTATATATACAAGGGTTGGTTCATAAGGTTTGAGATTTTTTAAAAATAGTTCCAACAGAGTTTCAATCATAGCCAATTTTTTTTTTACTTGCATATAGACCCTTCATTTGGCAACACTTGAAGTGCTGTTCAACAGAATCTCTGCCGATTATTTCAATGCATTTTTTCATGTGATAAATCCAGTAACTAAAACAGTGCCAAAAATTGAGTTCTGCATATTACTTGATTATAGTTGCCCTGTGATTTCTGACTGTTCCTGAAAGGGAAAAATGACCTGAAAGAGATTTGATTTTGAGGACAGGTGTTATGATGCAGGATATTTGAAGGTTTTAGAAAAATTAAGAAGGTTTTTGATATATTCTAGAATATCAAGCATTTGCAACACAGTCAGCAAAAAATGATTTTTTGACATTTTTTGTGTGAGACAGCCAAAAAAGAACTGATGCCAAGACAGAGAGTTTTTGAATCAAGAATATTCTCTGGGAAATATTCTGTCCTTCAGGACAAATGAGAGGAAAGCTCAAGGATGAGGAAAACTTGGTCTGGGTCCCATGGAATTCCTGAAGGATTAGACCTTAGTTTATTCTTGTTAACCTCCATTTCTTATTTCCAACAACAGGGACAGCCTAAATTTCTGTCATGAAAGAGCAGCCAGATCAACAAACATAATTCAATTTTTGGCACTGCTGTTTTGATATTTGGAATTATTGCATGAAAAAATGCATGGTAATGGGCAAAGAGTATATGCTGAACAGTGTTGCCAAATGATGGGCTGTGCAAGTAAGAAAATAAAAATATTGGGATTTCTGAAACTTCCATTGGGTCTACAGTATTTCAAAAATTAGTTTCAAAACTTATGAACCAACCCTCGTACACACTAATGAATCACAAGCAATTATGATAACCACATAGGACATTATTATCCACGCATATATGAATAATGAGTAAACAGACTTTTCAATCTACGCCAAACATCACATCATCATTTTTATGATCACTAAATATTTAAATGCAATATGGTATGTTTGTTGTGTTCAAAAGCAAACATATATGCCTGAAATCCTTGTAACAGACTTCTGTTGGTTTAAAATTAATGGTAAAAAGTAAAAATTTGATTTTTAAATAATGGAATTTGCATAACAGACTTTTCACACAACAGACTAGTCTGTTGCAAGAATTGATTCCATTGTGTAGGGGGGCAACTGTACTGTATGACTTAAAGCAGGTTTTCTCTATTGTATGGCCTTTAATAATGTTGCATCATTTTCAAAGTGCAAATTTTAGCTTTATATGATTTACAGAAACAAAAAAAAACATAAATAATACAGGGAACACTAAGGATAATGCAGAACTGAACTCACCAGCCAAAAAGTCCCGTCTGGTTTGTTCAGCATCCAAATCATTGTCTGCCAAATCATCTCCCAGCAGGATATTTGGCCTTGAGGGTGGCACTTGATAAGCTGGAACATTCCCCTGTTTTTGCAAGAATAGCGGTGATAAAATAAGTTATTTTTATGCAAGAAGTGTAATGAGAAACAATCTGTGTGCTTTTAACTCTTTGAATTTTGTATTATTTTGCCTCAGACTTTTTTTGCCCTGTGGATTTTTGTGTACTTCAGCTAAATTAAAAAGATTCTGTTTGGCTGCTATAAACTATACATTGACTGCTTAATTTCAATCAAGAGACACTTTTCCATACTTAATAGGCACAAAAATCATTTATTTCTAGTCTTGCTTGAGTTATGTTATACTGTATTCCTCTAGGGACTGTCTACAACACATTTTTTCATGATCCCATAGCTAGTTATTGCAAAGAGAATCCACCAGGATAACAACCTCCCAGCATCCTGAGATAAAATTAATTGCTATTGAAAAGTCATTGTAATGAGATGCATGGTTCTTATTTGAGCATGAACAGAACTAAAATTTTCCAGGAGAGAGGCCATGGATGCTTCAAAGTACTTCCACAACAGATTTGTAAAGTAGTTTTCCTGAAATTTAGTGCATAGAGTCAACCTTCTTAGTTTTCTACTTGCAATTAACAGGAGAAGAAATAATTTGAATTTGGGGCAATTTTTGTTCATACGTCTACAAAATTTGAGTTCATTTGTGGTTAAACATCAGTTGGACCATGCTTTTGAAAATTTAATGTGCTATTTTGTGGGGAAATCAAATTTAAATCCAAGGAATACTTATGTAAGGAATACTTATGTCCTTATGTAAGGGCATGTTTGCTGTATGCAAACAAGTCAGATGTGCAGCTTTATTTTGTGGAGTGTGTTCTATTTTTATTTTTGTCATCAATTTGTGCTTTGTTTCCTGCTTTGAAGTGATTGAATGTCTTTGAGGGGATTTAGGTTGGGTGGGGAGGGGGTTTGGATGTGGGAGTCTTGGTTGTGCCTTGTGAATGCTGAAAAGCGGCAAATAAAGTGTTCTGTTCATTCATTCATGTAAGGGCATGTAAAAAATTTAAAGATTCCAGAAGACACAAAAGTGAAGCCGGCATTTATAGTAACTTGATTTGAATAATTTCCTCCTGAGTTGGCACTTCTATATTGAACTTTTATTACTGTCATTGTGACCTTTAAAAAATAACATTGCTTCAACAACAAAATGGTTTTGACATTTCATGTAAGAGTAGATTAAGTTCAAAATATTGAAAAACATTTTTCTGTACAATATTTCTTTTCCCTCACACCAGCTGGCGCACCTCTCTATTAAAATACCCATATGCATGTTTTGTATATTCATTAAAAATGTCATTGCTGGTTTAATGTAGATTCAATAATTACTTTTGAAATTTCTGAAGTTCAAGGATACGCAGGCATTTGCTTTTTATATGAAAATACAGTAATGTACTAGCAGTGCACACAACCTGTAATTTATTGCAAAATCAGGAATTTATTGCAAAACAGAAATGATGCGAATATTATGAGGGGATTAAAATTTGTTGATGAGAATTCAACATAAAACTCAAAGAAAAATGCTTTCCAAACATTCAGAAACGTCAATTTCACTGTTTGCAAGAAATATGGCATAATCTGATTTCATTGTTATTCAAAGTTTTATTTTTTGCCGTCCGTTTCTTCAGAGCCAAATTATCAAAGGTGCAGAATAATTCAAGACTTGACTACCTGCGGAGTGTTTTGAATCAACTTCAAATTGGCACTTGAAACCACCTGAGGAAATAACCATGCAGAACTTGAAGTCAATTTCAAGAGGTGGAAAATTGGCCAAATAATTTGAGAAAATTGCTCTATAAATTCTGCACGCGTCAATAAAGGCATATTTCTCGGTAGGCGAATCGGATCATCATCGTAACCTGATTTCGAGCGACGGGACAAATCATGCATGATTCAAGAAATCAATATTGATTTTCGAAAATCGAAAAAATATAAAAATGAAATAAATCCTACTTGCTGCTGAGATGACCGAAGGATGAGACCCGCGGTGTCCTCTTTAATGATGCGTTTCATGGCTGCCTCTGTTCTCATGGTGTCCAGGTCTCCCTTCACGTCTCGCAAATATTTGATGGCTTCTTCCCTTGAAAGCTGAAATATGATATACCCGAAACATGAAGTCACTTTTTTGAACAAGGAAAAAAGATTCTGCATATAGGTACTGAAATATATGGAGCACAAACACTGAATGAATGAACATAACACATTATTTGCTGCTTTTCAGCGTTCACAAGGTTCAATCAAGATTTCCACATCCAAACCCCCTCCCCACCCAACCCAAATCAACTCAAAGACATTTAATCACCTCAGAGCAGGAAACAGAGCACAAATGGATAACAATAATAAAAGAAAATACAATCCACAAAATACAACTGGACATCTGACATGTATGCATACACCCATTCCTTCCCTGACATATTGAAAACAAAATATTAGTAACAATTAATTTAAAGCACAAGGTCTTCCGCTTGTTTCTGTATAAGTTTTAGTTGAATGAACAATTTAGAGAGAATCTTTGATGAGAAATCATATAAAGCCAACAGTTTATCTTGATCCTTTAAGATTTCAGAAACACTGTATTATTGCACCTTTGAGAAAAATGCTGGATATTTTTTTCTGCAACAAATTCTGATTGAAATGTATTCCTGCACAAAGTGCAAAACCTAGTTTTCCCCTAATTTCAGAGACCAAATTTTTTTGTATTTTAAAATCAACGGTACTTAAAAACCCTAGCTTTATAGTCTCAAAATAATGTTATATTTTATTGCAAAATGGGATGATGGAAAGATAATTGAATTCAACTTTATTTATTATTAAATTAAGATTTTAAGCATAGCTTTTAAACGATTCCATTTTGAATAGTTTTAGTTTGAAAAGTGTCACACTCCTTTTTGTGGTGTATAGTAAAGCACACAAAAATAGTTGCCCTTTTTCAAGTAAAAAAAAAAAAACCTGTGTCTTATAAAATTGCTGGCAAGCTGCCATCTTTGATCCAAAGGCTAAACATGTGTTTCTACTCTGCACAAAATTGTCCTTATATTCCTTGAAAATGTAAGCAGTTGATGTATTCAAAAATGGTGGAATAGAGTTGACTTCCCTCTGGGATTATCATAAGCATATACTGTACATAATAATGCTTGACAAGAAAAAAAAGGCAAGCCCTTGGAAAGGAAACGACACAATCCAATAATATGCATTTCCCCAAAAGCTATTTCTGAACCAACAGCTGTCACAAAAGGCAGCACTTCGCAGGTTTCCTGCTGAGCAAAGCCTGCATGTTGTCACAGCTTCTTCATTTTCTCGACACGAAAGGAAAGGCCTGCTGAATATAAGGTGTCAATGCTGAAAATTTTCCTTTTTTTTTCCCCCAATAGGTTTATTCACACAAGGACAGAACAGAAGAGAAGCATACTTTTCTGTTTCCGGAATAAAAAAAATAATGAACAGGAGCTATTCAAGAGGATGCAATCATGAATACAAATGATGATTTCAAAGGGTTTCTCCTAAAAAAACAAGATTTATTCTTATTTTATCATCCTGAAAAGGACTACTGTATAATTCATGACAATATGCTTAATTTCCAGATTACAAAAAAACAAGTTTCAAAAAGTTGGACCTGAGTTTTGAATGTTTGGAATATGAGAAGTACTGTACAGTATATATGGCTTTTTTACAGCTGCTGAGAAGAGGAACATTTCCAAGATGAAGTGCAAAGATAAAAGGATGAAGAAAAAATTTTAAAATCCGGGGTAAGCTCAGCAAGAAACTTAAAAAACAAACTGAATTCTTTTTTTTGGGCAAAAGGCTTATTGTTCATACAAGGTTTCAGCTTTAATCCAGAGCAGCTTCTCAAATCAACCATCATACAGTTTTTATAATTGTATAATTTTTTTAACATCAATATAATATGGGACTTAGCTTGGCAAACTTTTTCCATGATCATCTTTTTTAAAATTAAAAAGTGACTGACATAAAACATATCTCCTGTAAAAAAAAACCTTAGAATTACATTAAAACATATAAATTGTTTTAAGCTTTGATATAGCTTAGAATAAAAGCCAACTTTCATTTTTTTCATCAAATAATTCTTTGAAACTGCCTCTTTTTTTCTGACATTTCAGATAAAGACTTCATTGCTCCTTTTGATAATTTTATTATGCTGGAGAACATTTATTGCCTCAATGATACTTTTTGGCATGAAGAGGAGTCCACAAACCAAACAAAAAAGAAGCACAAACATTATTGCTTATATGGTGGGCTTTAAGAAAGGTTTCTCAAAGTGAAAAAAATATATATATAATTTTTTCAGCAGGTGAAAATTTGTCCAAAGTGCTATTAGAATAAAAGCCAACTTTCATTTTTTTCATCAAGCAATTCTTTGAAACTGCCTCTTTTTTTCTGACATTTCAGATAAAGANGAGTGTTTTGAATCAACTTCAAATTGGCACTTGAAACCACCTGAGGAAATAACCATGCAGAACTTGAAGTCAATTTCAAGAGGTGGAAAATTGGCCAAATAATTTGAGAAAATTGCTCTATAAATTCTGCACGCGTCAATAAAGGCATATTTCTCGGTAGGCGAATCGGATCATCATCGTAACCTGATTTCGAGCGACGGGACAAATCATGCATGATTCAAGAAATCAATATTGATTTTCGAAAATCGAAAAAATATAAAAATGAAATAAATCCTACTTGCTGCTGAGATGACCGAAGGATGAGACCCGCGGTGTCCTCTTTAATGATGCGTTTCATGGCTGCCTCTGTTCTCATGGTGTCCAGGTCTCCCTTCACGTCTCGCAAATATTTGATGGCTTCTTCCCTTGAAAGCTGAAATATGATATACCCGAAACATGAAGTCACTTTTTTGAACAAGGAAAAAAGATTCTGCATATAGGTACTGAAATATATGGAGCACAAACACTGAATGAATGAACATAACACATTATTTGCTGCTTTTCAGCGTTCACAAGGTTCAATCAAGATTTCCACATCCAAACCCCCTCCCCACCCAACCCAAATCAACTCAAAGACATTTAATCACCTCAGAGCAGGAAACAGAGCACAAATGGATAACAATAATAAAAGAAAATACAATCCACAAAATACAACTGGACATCTGACATGTATGCATACACCCATTCCTTCCCTGACATATTGAAAACAAAATATTAGTAACAATTAATTTAAAGCACAAGGTCTTCCGCTTGTTTCTGTATAAGTTTTAGTTGAATGAACAATTTAGAGAGAATCTTTGATGAGAAATCATATAAAGCCAACAGTTTATCTTGATCCTTTAAGAGTTCAGAAACACTGTATTATTGCACCTTTGAGAAAAATGCTGGATATTTTTTTCTGCAACAAATTCTGATTGAAATGTATTCCTGCACAAAGTGCAAAACCTAGTTTTCCCCTAATTTCAGAGACCAAATTTTTTTGTATTTTAAAATCAACGGTACTTAAAAACCCTAGCTTTATAGTCTCAAAATAATGTTATATTTTATTGCAAAATGGGATGATGGAAAGATAATTGAATTCAACTTTATTTATTATTAAATTAAGATTTTAAGCATAGCTTTTAAACGATTCCATTTTGAATAGTTTTAGTTTGAAAAGTGTCACACTCCTTTTTGTGGTGTATAGTAAAGCACACAAAAATAGTTGCCCTTTTTCAAGTAAAAAAAAAAAAACCTGTGTCTTATAAAATTGCTGGCAAGCTGCCATCTTTGATCCAAAGGCTAAACATGTGTTTCTACTCTGCACAAAATTGTCCTTATATTCCTTGAAAATGTAAGCAGTTGATGTATTCAAAAATGGTGGAATAGAGTTGACTTCCCTCTGGGATTATCATAAGCATATACTGTACATAATAATGCTTGACAAGAAAAAAAAGGCAAGCCCTTGGAAAGGAAACGACACAATCCAATAATATGCATTTCCCCAAAAGCTATTTCTGAACCAACAGCTGTCACAAAAGGCAGCACTTCGCAGGTTTCCTGCTGAGCAAAGCCTGCATGTTGTCACAGCTTCTTCATTTTCTCGACACGAAAGGAAAGGCCTGCTGAATATAAGGTGTCAATGCTGAAAATTTTCCTTTTTTTTCCCCCAATAGGTTTATTCACACAAGGACAGAACAGAAGAGAAGCATACTTTTCTGTTTTCGGAATAAAATAAAAATTGAACAGGAGCTATTCAAGAGGATGCAATCATGAATACAAATGATGATTTCAAAGGTTTTCTCCTAAAAAAACAAGATTTATTCTTATTTTATCATCCTGAAAAGGACTACTGTATAATTCATGACATTATGCTTAATTTCCAGATTACAAAAGAAAAAAAAGATCAAGAAGTTGGACCTGAGTTTTGAATGTTTGGAATATGAGAAGTACTGTACAGTATATATGGCTTTTTTACAGCTGCTGAGAAGAGGAACATTTCCAAGATGAAGTGCAAAGATAAAATGATACAGAAAAAATTTCAAATCCATGGTAATCTCATCAAGAATTTTGAAAAACAAACTCAATGCTTTTTTTTGGGCAAAAGGCTTAGTTTTCATTCAAAGTTTCAGCTTTAATCCAGAGCAGCTTCTCAAATCAACCATCATAAAGTTTTTATAATTTTATAATTTTTTTAAAACATCAATATAATATAGGACTTTGCTTGGCAAACTTTTTCCATGATCATATTTTTTGAAATTAAAAAGTGACTGACATAAAACATCTCTTCTGAAAAAAAAACCTCAGAATCACATTAACACATATAAATTGTTTTAAGGGTTGATATATAGAGGGTTATTTATTGCCTCAATGATACTTTTTGGCATGAAGAGGATTCCACAAAGCAAACAGAAAACAAGCACAAACATTATTGCTTATATGGTGGGCTTTAAGAAAGGTTTCTCAAAATGAAAAAATATATATAATTTTTTCAGCAGGTGAAAATTTGTCCAAAGTGCTATTAGAATAAAAGCCAACTTTCATTTTTTTCATCAAGCAATTCTTTGAAACTGCCTCTTTTTTTCTGACATTTCAGATAAAGA